GTTCTACTGGCTGGCGCTTCATGAGCCAAACTGGCAGATCTACAAGCAGTGTGTGCCGATTACGAACAACGGATCGGGTGCGTCCACCACGACTCAGTCGTCGGCCTCTGATGAGACTCCCTCCAACGCCCCTGTCGTAACTCCTGCGGCCACCACTACAGCACCGGTGGCTACGAAGGCACCTGTTGCTCAGACTCCTGCCCCAGCCCAAGAGGTTCTGACCGCAGCGCCGGTGGCCACGAAGGGCCCGGTTGTTCAGACTCCCACCCCGGCCCCTGAGGTGACGACTGCTACGCCTGAGACTCCTTCCACTCCAACGACCCCAGCTCCCGAAGTCACCAGTGCGACGCCCGATGTACCTGATCAGGCTACTCCGTCGACTACAGCCCCCGAAGTCACCACTGCGACGCCTGATGTCCCTGATCAGGCAACTCCGTCAACTACAGCCCCGGCCCCCAAGGATAACTGCCTCATGTAAGGTTCATTCAAGGCCACAGCGTAGTGAATTTTTGCGTACGATAAACGATAGACGTGTGTAGTGACGTTAACCAAAGCAGCGAAGGTAGTTGCAAACAAGAATCAGTTGTAGAATTGTTGTTTTGAAATCGTTGTCATACAAAACAAATCACCAATAAATTGCATAGCTTTATTTTACAGGAAATTCATTAGGATATTCACATTCGAATAAGTACGAAAAGTATTTTACAACCGATCCCATAGTAATTTGACACGATGGCAATGCTACTCCGCGGCAAGCGCGCTCTGGTTGTGGGGCTCATGAATAAGCACTCGCTGGCTGCGGGGATCACCCAATCTCTCCTCTCTAGCGGTGCAAGTGTCGTGGTGTCCTCTAAAACACCTTTGAGCGAGAGCCACATAAAGAGTTGCGCCTTCGAGATCCCCGACACTGTTGATGCTCCGAGTCCAGCATTGCACTTCGAACCGTGCGACGTCGAGAGCGACGAGAGCATCGACCAGTTGATGCAACGCTGTGGACAGATTTTTAGCGGAGAGCTGGATATTTTGGTGCATTCGGTGGCGTTTGCTCCCCGTGAAGCCTTCACCAACGGATTGTTAGATACTCCCAGGGCTGCGTGGGCGCAGGCGTTGGATGTGAGTGCCTACAGTTTGGTGGCGTTAACAAGAGCAGCGAAGCCACTAATGGCTAGCCAAGAGGGTGAGGCACGAGACCGCAGTGTGTTGGCGTTAACGTATGCTGGGTCGACCAAGGTGGAATAATGTCACGTTTTGGTAAGTTTGAGGTAACACGGAGCTAATTATTGTTGGATTTTGGAATAGGTGGTGCCAAACTACAATGTAATGGGCCCGGCGAAAGCTGCGTTGGAGGCTACAGCAAGACAACTAGCATATGAGCTTGGACCGGAAGGAATCCGGGTCAACTGTCTGAGTCCTGGACCTATGAACACGGTGTCGGCACGAGGGATTCCCGGTATCTCGGTAAGTTTGCATATATTTTAAAGTTTTCAGTGTGAGATGGCTGAAGGTGGTTTTTGTCGTAGAAAATGAGGAAATACGCTGAGAATCATGCCCCTCTGCGTCGCAACAGCTCAAACGGTGATGTTGGATCCGTTGCTACCTTCCTGTCGAGTGATCTGGCTGCGGCAATCACGGGGCAAACTATCTACGGTGAGTATTTCACGAGCACCTGGATAAAAGGAAAACGTCTAATTTGATACGTTGCTGTCGTTATGGTCGAGCAGTTGACGGTGGTTTGGGCGCGATGGCTCCATATGCAAGGGAAGAAGAATAAACAGGGACACTTCATACTTGAAGGAAGTAGGTTAGTGTGAGTTACCTACGTCACAATGGCGCGTGGTCTATCTCTCTTCCTCAAGGACGATACATGCTGGAGCTTCTGATGGTGCTTACATACTCTGGTCTTCTATCTCCTTCGATTCTTTACTTCTTTTTTTTTCGTCTTGACGCTGGTTATATGGCCAACGGATTAGTTGGTGCTGGTGTCGCTGCGGTGCTGCGCAAGCTTGTGTCCACAGACAGCTCTAAAGTTCCTGATAGCTGAGCAGAGCCTCGAAGGTGGACTGACACAGAAGCTGCAAGTTCATTCGATTCGGCGATTCTCCAGCTCCAGACCACGCGTGAAGTCAGAGATTCAGTCGACGCAATCTCACTGGAGTCGCTGCTGTCGCTTCTGGGCTGTACAACCTGAATCTCCGTGACATATTCTAGAGCGATACATTCGACGCATCAGACTCTGCTAGCAAGGAGAGGCAGGGAGTTCAACGTACTGAATGCTTGCCAGGCAGTACCAGCTAGAGACAAGGCGTAAAAGCGAAGAACACACTTGTCGTTGCAGCTCGAGTAGTTTACTGGACAGGTAGCTGGACTGGATGGGAACGCGACGGCGCAATTGTTCGCCTGAAAGACGACACCTTCATCGATCCATAACTCACATGGACCCTACAAAGACACAAAGACCTTGTCATGCCGCCTTCACCCAACCTGCCAAGCGAAACTAAGGCTTACATGCTCGAAGCCTCCTTCAGCCGCCGCGTCGTCATTCCAGAAGAACTTCTGCACCTCCGCTCCAACTATTACAACTTTTGAAGCACCAGTACCACTGCTACATCCAGTTGAACGAGAGTTCTGGTATACGTTCTCGACGAACTGGCGTAAAGAAGCAAAACCTGTTGATGGAAATGCCTCCGTAAACGTATCGACGTTGTTGCACGCGTCGCGAGTCCAGTTCAGATCCGCAAAGGCC